GTCAGGACTGCCCCCAGAACAGGCGTGACATATCTCGCAGCCCACTCCGTACCGAAACCATAAATTGATGAGCAGTGTATAACCCCAATACAACGCATTATAGGAATTTCCATTTCATTTTCCATCATCCCTATATTACCCCCCAAATACTATAGTAGTTTCCATTTTCTTTTCCATTATCCCTATTGTATAACCCTTATGTAGCCCCAATGTAATTACTATCCTACATACCCTCAGTTTCCATGTCATTTTCCGCTTGATTTTCCATTTGGTTTTCCATTCTTGAAGTAATATCCTTATTTGTAACCCCAATATAACCCTAACCCTAATCCTAAGCCCTATTCAAAGGCTCAGATTTTTTGCTTGGACATCACTTCTCAGGACCAAGCTTTGTCCAGCGGCGGAGGGGCTACATCAAAATGACTTGGGAATGATGGGGTTATATTGGGGCTATATAGGGTTAATCTTGGGATAATCGACAGTGAAATGGAAACTACTATTTACAGGGCTATATAGGGGTTATCTTCTGCAAGTTGCTGCCACCAAACGAGCAACAGCTAATGCCATAATAACCAAGGCTTGTCATCTCTGACGATGCCTTGCGTCTTGCATAAAAAGTACAGGGTAGTTTGGAAGATGTTCAACCCCCAATCTAAGGCACTTGTGGTATTATTCCCTATATGGTGTTATTCCCGATATAAACCACCATTTAGGGTGAGGTCGGGTGAGATCGCTTGAAATTGGCCCAACAATTATAAGGCTCCATTCAATATGTCGGTATCTGCCCTCTTCGGCTCCCCTGATTGCAGCCCTAAAGCCAAACCAAGGTCAGCTCAGGGCCCTATTTACTCAAATATGAAACCCTAGAGTCACCCCTTAAGTAGATAGAATATGGCTTTTGATATAAGATCCTCACTCATTTTCCCCATATTCTACCTACTTAAGGGGGACTAGACATAGCTCCTATATAAACTAGCCCTACTTCCCCTTCCATGTTCCATTCTTGTCCAATTGATTCTCGTTTATGAAGGAGTTACCAACATCCTTTTCTCATCCATACTTTTGCTATAGTATCCCGCCTAATCCCGACAGAATCTCCAATAATGTCTATGTTCCAAATGGGGATATCCTCGTATCAAAGAGAGCACGCCCAAACCTCATTTTCCATTTGACTCTCCATGATTCGCACCATATCCCTAAACCCTCGAAATCCCTATGTATCCCCTACATGACGTAGTAGTTTCCGGTTTCCTGTCTATCCCCTATACATCCTGATATCAAGAAAGCTGAGGGTCCAGCAGGCCTCTTCGTCCATGTCTCCAAGTTGCGATCTCCTTAAAGCTTTGGAATCATCTTAAGGAGGCCGAGGGTTTGATATAGGGCTCTGCCAGAGACTTGCAAAATGGAAACTACTATAGTATATTGGGGTTATATTGGGATAATGGAAAAGAAAATACAAACTATATGGGTTGTAAGGGTTATATGTTATGTAGGTATTATAGGGGGTATATTGGAGGCATGAGAGATAATGGAAAAGAAAATGGAAGCTACTGTTTGGGGTTTAGGGTTTAGGTATCAGGGCTTATGGGATTAGGCTAGAACCTGCCTTGAGGGTCAAAGGGTTTTAGGCTCAGGGTTTGAAGTTTCAGGGCTTGAAACTTAGGATATAGGGTTATATTGGGGGTATATAGGGATTATATAGGGATTATATAGGGATTATATAGGGCTCGTAGGGTTAAGAGCGCAGAATTTAGAGCATTTCTGACTTCTGTACTCTAGAGCACCACTGCTCCAGGAGGCTATGTAGCAATTCCGGGTGGAGGAGTGAATGTTTTCATGGCAATGTAAAATCAATAGAAGTCTCAAGATGTTCCTCCCCTTGGGTGCTCCATGAGGAAAGGGCGCCAGCTGACTTAACATTCCTGAGTTCTTGTCAAGACGGCCCAGCTTTTCCGCTGAAGTAACTTTTCTGCTTTAGCACCTTCCACGCTTCGATGCGCTCCAAGTGACCAAGCCGTAGATTATAAAAAGAAGCAAGTATGCGCCGGTTACATTAGGGTTCATCAAGGAAAACATTCCTTACGTTTGTGGGTAGTGAGGCAGGTAAGCACGTGCAGGGCAGGGACTTTCAATTCGGCTAACATCCCACAACTTCAACACCTACCTGGAGGCCTTATTATTATTCTACAAATTCTAAGTCAGCTAAAGCAAGTATGGACCCTGTAAGCTCCCCAAGCATGGCTATCATTGGTAGATTCCCCAAATAAGGGGACCAATATAGACCCCAAAATACTATAAGCCTTACCACGAAGACCCCTGAAGAGGTACCCATAATTTAGGGAATCCCCCAATTCTAACTAGGTGGCTGAGATCTACATTGGGCCTCCAAGTCCTAGCCCTGTAGTACCGTGTCAAGCAGCTGAGTCCCCACACCCATGAAATGAATCCGCGCATTTGGTGTGATCCGATCAGATCCGTACTTAGGGGACTTAAGGATCTTCTAAGAGTGCTATGACTACAGCATATACTGATCGCGAAGCCCAAGCCCTAAACCCTAGACCGTACATCCACATACATCCCGGAGGGCCGCATGTCATCATCACTTGCCTGTACATTTGATTCCCCGTTAAAATATTGGGCTCGACTTCCCCCTTCAAAACACAGCCACGTGGCATTTTTGCCTTGAGCATCGCATGGGACTCCTCCTCTTCCTTGGTCCTCGGAGCCGCCAACGGCTGCCTGTGTGGTGGTGTTTGACTTCGTTGACACTCGCATTCTTCTTGCCATGACTCTGGTCTCTGAGTGTGCTGCATGTCCTCCACCGTGCCCAGCCCCACAAACACTCTCAGACTACGGTCCACAAGCAAAGATGCGTACACAACACACCAATTGAGTTCATGAGAACGCGGGTGTTGCCAGGGTTCCCGTTCACAGCTCCATGGGCGCTCAATGGTTGGCATGCAGCATAAGACACTTTAGGTATTTCGCAGGACGTCACTAAGCAAATCCGCCTTCAGCCTCAGAGAGGAATTTATAGGCCCCTATTTCAGAGATCTTCCGACAACATGGGGCCTGCTGGCACACCTAGCGTGTCGGATTGCGTCATTCCCAGACGTATTCACGTGTTCGAGAGCATTGCGCAGGATGTTTATTGCACATGTTCTGCGGAACCGCTGTGCTACAGCATGACCATGCTGACACTCTAATTAAAGAACATGTGCGCTGGGCTTAAGGGGCAGCGGCCCACGGTTGCGGCAACAACCTAATCTTAACACCCTTATGGCAGGCAACCACGCAATGGATTACATCTGGCTTGAAAGCAGGCAAGCTTTCCGCAGTTCGCTTCTGTCTCCATCATTTCCCACCACAAAGCCCGAAACCTCAGCCTACATAATTATTGCTGTGACAGACAAACCCTGTCAAAGCCGTTCATGGTGATTCATCTCCTCACCGTCACCTCAAACATCTAAAAGGAAAAGATAACCGTCACATTCGGATTGGTCTCATTCTCATTAAATTGCTATCAGCCATTGCCTGTTGTTGCAACCTTACATACCCGTCAGTGCCCGTCAGGATTGCAAACTCTTGCTCCAATTCCTACCACCATTGCTGCTTGAGCGTGCTGTCATTTCTACAAGGGCCATTGGACAACCCGATGCCGCACCATACAAGTCCTGAAGCCAAGAACTAGATTTCCCATGAGCGACTGGGTCCGCGACTGCGTGTGTCGCCGCCGGATGCGCTCCCTCCACACTTGCCGCCTGGCATGTAAGAACAGAACCCGTTTCAACATATGCAAGTTGCAGCCCCAACAAGAGCATACATGAGCATACTGCTGTAAACAAAACGTTTACGACTCTAGAACCTGCACTACGAGCATCCCAGCTAGTTTCTACATGAACCCGATTACCCCTCCGAAGGTGCTGGGGGCACCAATATACCCTCCCAGCCCACTCCGAGCCCAACGTCCACCCAACCTTGCTGGTGCTGTGGGGGAGGGGCCATAAGAATCCCTGTATCTTCTTATTCAATTAAATACATGACCCCGTAACGATACCTTACTCCCCCCCTGCCCCTTAAGCACCAGTAAGCGACATCCTTGACCTACCCGATCAGTTGCCAAGTGCCAACTGCCTGCCAGCGCGAAGCACGCGAAGGCGACAATCTGCTTCGTTCTCCTCTCTGTCCTTAGCAGATGGTAGTGGTAGTTCTTCACAGTACCTGTCCCCGGAAGTGACGATAATATAAGGTTTCCGACAGACGCAGACACCTGAAGAACTGTCATCCAAGCCAACAATTCTTTCTGTTGATTCGAACCCTTTCCGTTCAAAGCTGCTTGCCATTCCAGACAACATGTTGCGTCACCAAGGCCAAACTGAGTCGCAAGAGTGCTGGCCCCCGCTTTTCATGGTTCAGGACATAGGAATTCCATTTTGGATATTTTGCGCACAGCACGGGCCATTTTTGTTTCCCAGTCGCACGAGTCTGAGTACGCTAGCACCTGCATCACTCCTTGTAACTCTGACATGGCAACAGGCGCTCTACAGCGCGGGCCCAGCAAGCGAAGTAATCTGGAAAGGGGAGTAGTGTATACCTGAAACCAGCTCATCTTTGTACAAGCTACCAACATCTAGAACCTAGACATGATCTTGAACCTTGAAATATCTTGAGTACCATCGCCTGGATGGAGCCCACAAAGCGATGATGCTACACCGGCTGCTAGAGGGCTTGGCAGAGCAAATGCTGCCATCACTAGGTCCACCTGCTGCCAACTCCTGGTGCTTCGCGCGCAGCGCTGGCCGGGTGCAAGAACATTACGGCCCTGCCAAACAGGACAGCAAGTGACTGGCAGTATTCGCGGCTGGACCAAGGCAGTAGGCATGCACGAGTACAGCTGGAAATGAAGCAAGGCAATTGCTATCACAGGAAGGTCTGACAGCACAGCAGCATTTCTCAAGTCTAGCCAGTCTAGCCATCCGGCCTTCATCGTACCTCTGGCCCTACGTCGTGGTAATGGTGGTGGAAACAGTGCTGCTGGTCGTCCAAGTTGTGGTGCTCGTGAAAGTAACGATCGTCGTTGTGGAAAACCTCAGCCGCGCTCAATGCACCTCATGGAAAGTGTTCTTCCTTAACACTTTTACGGCAACCAACAACTCGTTCTGACCAGGGGGGACTCAGCTGGAGCCTCAACGTGAGATGAATGATGGCATGTTGTGGAGAGAGAGCTAAAATTCCTCGCAATTAAGACCAAGCCACGCGAAGAGGGTAGTTGTCGGCATCGGGCTGGAAACCTCAGTCACAAATTTCTTGCAATGCCAGGCTTGTCCTACCAAAGGAGGCTTTCAGGGACTCTGCATGGCCCCTCTGCCATTCAACGCCCAGTAGGTTCAACAATCTCCTAGCTGCCTAGCTTCATAGATGCCAGTCCCATAGACCACAAACTCCAAAACACCACAACTCTGGCCCAAACCCTGCAGACCCCAAACCCTAGAAGTCCCAAGTCCCAAACCTTGAACACTGAAAATCCTCAAGCCATCCAAAATTCTTATACCAAGCCGAGCCCAGGGGCTGGCAAACCGCCGAAACCAGCAGCACTAGGGCCCGTCCTCCGCGGGCAAACGGGGATTTTGGGTTTGGGTTTTGTTTGTCCCCTCACTTGATCCAGCAATGAAGGGAAGATGACCAACTTGACTCCCGGCATGACTGCAGTTGACAATACATCCGCTGCTGTCTTGCTAAGCCTGCAGCCAGAACCCCTTAAGCCTACATGGTAGTTTCCATCAACAAGGAACTTCAATATAGACCCCAAAATATCCCAAAATATTATGACCCTTATAATGGGGACCCCCAAAATTATACCCCTAATGTTGGGAAACCCTAATCCCTATAATCCCCTAAATAAACTAAGTTCCCATTTCATTTTCCATTTTCTTTTCCATTTGATTCTCCATTATAGTAGGTACATCGAGACCCGCCCCTTAGCACGGCTCCAGGGGAAGGAGCCCCGGCCGAGGTGGGCGGGAGCATCCGTCAGTTCGGATGGCACTAGCTCCGTCTCCTTGCCAGAAGTAAGGTAGGGTTTAGGGTTTAGGGTTCTTCATCTTTATGTAGGGGATGTAGCGGGTTATATAGGGAGTATTATAGGGGTTATTGGGGAGGATGCTAGGAGTTTACATTATGGATCATATGGAAGTCTAACTGACTACGCCCGCCTGGAGTACCATATACAATCCAAGAGAAAATGCTGCCCATAGCATGGGCAATATCACTCTACAGGCCGCCTCTGCCGTGACTAAAGCTTGTGTTTCTTTCTGTCTTTAGACTGGTAGACTATGCAGGGATTTGGCTTCATTTAGCTGTAAGATCAAAGGCTTTGCACAGACACATCTCGAATAGGCACAGGTTTGCACAACTTTGCGCATTCCCTCAGTTGCCCTATCGTTTTCAAACCCTAGGTCAATACCACTACACCTTTTGCAAATGAGAACCGTCTTTGCACAGCCCCCTTTGGAATTCTGACCCTGCTTTGTCAGAGCAATCAGCAACCCTCAGCTCAACATCAAATGGCAGCCTTAAAATGCGCCGACTCACAAGATCCCCTAGGATACTAAGGAATTCGAAGGGGGCATCCAGAATTGTGTATCTCATACTGAATACGGCCCCTCTTATTTATGGAAACTAACATAAACCCTAAACTCCTAAACCCAACCTTGGCCCTGCCCTAAATCCCAAACCCTACCTAAACCCTAAACCGCGGGTATCATGGGTGCATAGGGGGGATCCCCAAGTCCAAGCTGGTCAGCCTGCGGTGCTCTTACAATCTTGGCTTCACCAGCCCAAGACCTCTGAATCATGGGCCATTCGTTTGACCATTATGGCATGCGTGGCAAGCGCTCCTACCCAGCTTCCCATTTGTTGATGGCACACGAAATCTATAACCGTTGCGAAATCCCCGTTCTATGCACAGTTTGCCCATCACTTGGGAGCATGCCAAAAAACAGCACCCCCAAAACCAACTTTAAACTTGAATCCCCACAGAGGTCTGCCTGGAACATCATCCTACACCCAAGGTCGCAGTCCCACGTTTGCAGGAAGTTGATCAAAATTCTGGTTCAGTGTGGAAACTAGTTTCCCCCATAGACCCCCAGGAACCCACAATAATTTCCCCACAGGACCTTTAGATCATCCCCCAGCGCTCAATAAACCCTATGAAGCTGTGCTGCTGCTAAGGAGCTTAAAAGTTACTATCATGGGGGAAGCATACAAAGTAGTGTGAATATATATATATATACCCATTATGGTAACTTAAGTTATGTTCCTTAACAGCAACCCATGAAACTCCAGCAGGTAGAGCCCAAGGCGCAACTCCGCGGCTTGTGAGGAGGTCCAGGTCTGCCTCTGAGGTGTGGAGTTCGAGGTTTCCAGGTTGAATTTTGGGTTTCCCTAAACCCTAAACCCTAAACCCTCATTAGGGTTTTCAGGTTGAATTTAGGGCTTGAGGTGGCCCTGAACCGGTGTTTCGGGCCGGTCCAGTTCCCTGGTAAGAAAGACCTGGACTTTCAGTGGCCTAGCCTCCCCCCAAAACTGATCTGGAACCTGGCATAGCCACCTACTAAAGGATGATAAGTCGTAGTCTACAAGGAGCTCTTTGTCAGGTTCCGTGTTAGTTTGGGGGAGAATATTGTCTAATTCTGTTGTTGTTCTGCTTTGGATGCCAGGCTTGAAGGAAGGAAGAAACCAAGTGTGCCAAGCCGAAACAATCAAAAACCTACAGCTCAAAGGCAACAATAATTTTCCAACGGCTCACCACCTCCCCCTAATCTAATATTAAACGTTCCCAATGTTTTATAGTAAGGGGGTGGGGGTGTCTGATATTAGGAGGATGGACCAATTGTCCCTCTAGTGCAGTTTGTTTACTTTAGACCCCCACCTCTCTCTAATTGCAGAACGTATACGTCCAAAGATTCCAGGGTGAACATTCAAAACCTGCTTCGTGGAAGCCTGGCTGACGGCGGCGCCGTTCGAAAGTAGCCTCGGCTCTTGAAATAAGAAGTCGTCCTCAGGCTGGTCTCCCGCCCGCTAATACTGGGTTGCTGTTGAGGAACTTAAATTAATTACTATCGATACAATTTTCTACATATGTAGTAATCAATATGGTTTCCCCAATATAGTCACTGAAGTTAAGTTCCTTATCAGCAACCCAGAATAATGACCACAAGATGTTGGCAACCATTCTGGTGTCCTCTCACTACACGACAAGTGCAGGCCCTTGCCTAACCTGAAGTCTGGGTGAACAAGGCTCCCCGACACTACTGTTACTGAGGCGAGCGGAGAAAGGAACTACGTCGTGGGGGTCTCTGGGTAGGGCTTCAACACTCGAAAGCAGAAGACAACAAGCTCTCGAGTCTGGGCCAGCACCATTTTGTCAACATTTATTGTTATCATGGGAACGTACAACGCTTTTCAGGTGAAGTTAGTATGCTTTCCAACTAGCTCATAACTTAGAAATCGCAAGAAGGGTCCCAACGCTTTGTAGTCTACCTCGCATTTTCATGGGCTTAAGTAAGGTTCGGTGATCTAGTTGGAAATAACTCTCCATTTTGTCGGATGTTGCGTGCGGACTTGGACCATCGACATGCCCTTCATAGACTGACCTCCCACATGCATCCTTCACTGTTGAGAACTCTTGAACCAGAGCATTCTCCATAGTATAACATGAATCTGGCCATCATGGGAAACAGCTCCTTTTCCGCTACAGCCTGAAGGCATAGGCTCATGGAGTGTGAGAGTACAAGCGCCCAAAATGTGAAGAAGGACACGTTTAGCTCTCTTTGGCTCCTTGTTTATGGCCTCTTAGCGCATGCTGCCCCCAAATCCCCTTAGATTCCGTTATGTTTCGCGTGGCAACTACAGAGTGTTCAATGAGCATATTCTAATGCCTTGGCCAAATCGGTGGCATCCAATCTCTGAAACAATTAGCATTGCTTCGGTACTCTTGGTGAAGCTGTCCAGAGACTTCCTGAATGTCTAGGAACCCTGCTACGATACTACTTGTCCTGCTGTTCAACTATGAGTACCTGCAGAAACAAGGTCCTTGGGTCTCTAATAAACCCTGTACAAGGCAGTAATGGTAGTAGGAGACTCGAAGCACTGAAACAAGCATCATAAGCTTGGCACACCCCTGCATGGAGTTGAGGAGCCAGTCGGAAGCATCAGTGTTGTTCAGAAGCAATGCCTGGGAGCCAAAATCCGTAGAACATGAAGGAATGCATGCCAGTATCCTCGCCTGATGCCTAAGTCTTACCAGGTAAAAGGCCCTCGGCTTATGCGTGATGGCGTGAGTATGCCACAGATATCCTCAGGACCTTAGGACCCTCTGTGGGCATGAGGTAGAAGAAAGTGGGATCATGTTTTCAAGCTCCTGGCGATGCCAGCATGGTCCAAGTAACCCGGGCTACTACTGTACTCATCCGTGTCATTGCCCTCTTGAATGCCAATGATGCACTTGTCACATCCAACGCAAAGCTGGCCACGTGTGTACCATGAAGAAAAATTCTGTGTTCTTTGCGGGCTTTTATTTGAGCACAATGCACCCGCAAGAATAACGGGACGGTTGGAAGGGCTTGGTCAATTGAAGGTCTGTTCCAGACGTACCTCGTGAATGTTCAAGTCATGAAGAATTGAAGCTTAACAGGTCAGATGAAGCTTTCATCGATGACACATCACGTACCAGGAACAGCCTGAACCCAGAAACTGCAAGCTCTCAAGTCAACTGAGGCCCGAAATACTCTGAACCTTGAGCGGCTGCCTGCATCAGTGCGGTGAAGCCGTCCGCGTCACGCGCTCCATCCAGGGTGGCACTGCTGGCACCACCGTACTGCAGGAGCACCTGAGGTCAAAGTGATGGATATCACAACCTCAACAATGACCCAACGCATGCAAAAGCCTGAACCTAACGTGCTTATTCAATAAGAGCCGAATGGCCAGGTCAAGGTGAAATTCGCGTTTAGAGCGCCAGTTGGATCTAAAAGTTTGAAAATCTTCACTTCTAATCCAAGGGCCTTTGTGCCGAACTTCAAAGAGAGCTACCAGGCCTGGGATTCTTTGCGGAAGAGGGAGGAACTTGAGGGATTTGCCTCTTGATCGGCAAGAAGCCAATGATCATCGCACATCGTCCTCACGACTTCTATCGACTCTATCGCGCGATTCTGACATAAAACATGCTCAAAAACTAGACTACAGCGATAAAGGGTCAAGGTCAAATCTTCCAATACATCTTCATCTCACACAGAATCCGATGAAGGCATGTAAGCACGTCTCCTTAAAACAGTCTACTCCATGTTCACCCTTAACTGCCCTTGATGAATTGCGGGGGGTTCCCAAAACAAAGGGCCCCTTCTTGGAAGAGTCTACCAATTGCTCCATCAACTTCTGGCCCCTCGAAGCCCAGTGACGTCAAGCAAAGAAACGTCGTCCAGCATGGCAGCCTCTGGGAGGTTCATGAGCATCACAAGTGTCACATCACATATGGGAGTTTCCCAAAACTCGGGGTCCCCATAATAAGGATTAGAGTAATTCAGGACTTATAGTGGGGTTCCCCTATTTTGGGAAACCCTCAAAGTACAATCATAATACTATGTTAGTATCAGCTTGCTCCATCCCAGCGTTAGCAGGCCAACTTGGCTTTTACAAATTTCGTGTTAATCACCATTTCCTCGTTATGCAGGAATGAGAGGGCTTGAGCTTAGGATTTCGGTCTTGGAGCCCACGGATTTCTCCAGCACCATCTCCAAAAACTGCAGTCGTGCGATTACTAGTGCTGAGGGCATAGGGCTGACGTAGATTCGATGGATTCTGCAGGGTGCACGATTCCTATCGCACAAGGCACAACGTAAAGAGACCCCGTACCTGTAGATGCATCTCATGGGTTTTGAACGGACTTTACGTCAAGGGTTGCTCATGTTATGTCCCTGTGGTATTTGTGTTGCTGTGATTATATATGGCTTGACGGGATTATATGAAATCTGGAACTTGCAACAAAAGCTGCGTATTCACCACCTGCGGGACACGTAAGGATTGCAATGCTTTGGAGGGCCAAGTTGACCAATCAGGGGCTTGTACTGAGGGGGTAGCAACAGGGCTGCACCCAGAAGCAACTCAAGGCGTAAAAGCGGAAACCCTGATAATGGTAATGGTAGTGCGCAATAGTAGTTCTCGCAAGTGTAGTAATCGTCATATTAATAATCAGAATATGAATAAACACTGCAACAGCCATCCACGTCTTTACTCTCCAGAGCTTCTCTTGCCGCGATAGGCGTTTTTAGAGGAACCGCATCATCAAAAGTGACGTCACATCTCCAACGCAATTCCGGGTGTTTATGGATCAAGGCTTTGGGTTTAGGGTGTAGGGTCAGCGGTTGAAGGTTTGGGGCTTGAACTCCCTTGCAGCAGAGCGTCTACAAATCCTACCAGAACATGAATGCATCTCTTGCGACAAGTTGTGCGCAATCTTTGGAATTTGCAAAGGGCCAGTAAACAACTATGGCTTTATGACCCGGTTCGATGTGTTGTCTCCACTACCAATGTGTTTGCTGAGTGCTGGCACCTTTGCAAAGCTGCGCAATTTAACACCAACCCCTCACTGATTCTTGAATCGGCCACTGTGCTGGAGGGACCCGACAGGCGATGGACTCTAGTCATCCAGTCTTCATAGAGTCTTCCAAACTGGAGGGGAAGAATATTTCAATAAAGCTCTGTGGATGCCCTCCCGACACGTGTCCCAGCTGAGGACTTGTCATTGTCACATGCAGCTTCCCAAACTACAAAATTGTTTCTGGGGCTTCTGATATGTGACTCAGTTGGTGACCCTCGGTATTGGCATAGTGTTAGATGATGAGGTATACTCACGTGGATGAAAGCTTTCAGTTTGGGAAGCTCGGGACGCAAAGTGGCCAGGGCCCTTCAAGGCATCGGCTCGCAGACGCAACAAATTTATGACGCACTGCGGCAGAAAGCCATGGGGGAGCTCCCAGCTACACTTAAATGAAGTTACTATGATAAGGAAACCCCATTGTTTGCTATGTACCCAGATTATGGTAACTTAAATTAAATAGCAAAACCCAAAATTTGAACAGTTCAACAAAACCTGATTCTTCCAGTCATATGAATCATAGCTCTTTATCCTGTTGCTTGGGCCCCATGCCACGCAGAATTGCAGCAGTCATGGGTGTTACATTTCGAGAACGGCATGATGGCAAAACTTGCCGTAAGCCCACTTAAAAGAACTGCCTGCCGCAGAAAATAGATTGAAATAACATGGGCTGAATTCTCCGAACTGGGACGCACGTGTGCCGACCTGCCTCACAGCAAATGGTGAAACAGCAATTGCTCACGCAATCCTTTTCGGTGGAGGCCCGGGCAGCAACCGTCTCTGGTGGAGCCACGCCCAGGGCTGCACAAAACTGTCAAGCATGGCTGGCGCCACAACGGCCAAGACAAGTCACCGCTCGAGATTCCGGTGCCATGAAAATCATGCAGTCACATGACCAGTTCAGAGCTTTCGGAGTGTATACACTTAGACATGAACGAAAGGCGGGAGCCCAATACCTGCAACTCATCCCCAATTCCTTCATGGCCCACTCTCAGCAGGACTCAGTCTATGGCCTTGAGCTGTGAACCATGCATGCCCGGCTTGACTACACAGGAATGTCCTGGCTAAGCAAGTAGCGGTAGCCTACTTGCTGTCAAGGCAGGCGCTTAAATTTAAGGAATGCAGGGTGCGTGAAGAGAGTGACATCTATACACAATCAGGAGCGGAGACTCTGCTGCCTTCAGGCGTCGCATTTGCACGGATCTGACCTTCCACGACCTTTGCTTCGCCGATCTCATTGCATGGTCTGCCGATCACGGGCTCTGTCCCGCTGGCGGCGGCCGTGTGCTGAAACTGCTTAAAGTCGGCCTTCTTGCGGAGATGACGGCACGCAACCACACCAAACGCCAGGGAGCATCCGGCCACCAAGGTCCCGACAAGGAGCAGCCAAAAGCCCACCTCGTCATGGGCTGCCTCCAACCATGGAACATCCACTTGTGGACAGCTGCTGAAGTCAAAGTGAGTGTTGGCCTCAAACATGCTGAGCGTGCCCTTCGTTGCTTCTAGCGTTAGGGACAACTTGGCTGCCTCCGTGTTTCCGCAGGTGAGGAGTGCAAAGTGCCAGTCCCTTGAGGCCGTGTTCTGCTGGATGTTGATGCGGAAGTTGAAGTATTTCAGTCCATCCCTTCCAAGCTCACGTGCCATGCTCGCTGCACTCAACTTCTCCTCACAAGACATCTGGCCCCAGGCATCCTTAACCGAGCCCCATCGATGCTCGCTCGCATCGTAGGCCACCAGCATGACGGGGTCATTTTCCTATGCTCGGTGCGCAGATCCCGCAAAAACTACACAATTTCAGACTTGTGTGTTCCTAGGTGGGTAGCCAAAGATGTCAAAGACCATATGAGCGACGACTTTTTTTCTATTGTTAATCCGTGTCCCCTGATCTCGTTCCCCTTAGAACGGAGGTGATTTCCTTGATGTCTTGAAATGCTGTGATCTCGTTCGGAATGGTGGAACATAAGCATAGCTCTGACTCATAATGGGAATTCGACCTATCTCGTTCGATCCGTGGTCCCTATCTAGTTCCCCTTTAGAACACTGGCTTTACAACAAAAATACCGACGCGGCTAGTCTTCCTCTGTCTTACATAGATAAATGCGGCAGCTCATATGACAAAAAAAGCATAAGGGTTTTTTCTCGGCTCCAGAGTCACTGAGCTGCCGGGTGCCTTCCCAGTCCTTGGCTGCAAACTGAAACCCTGAGCAGGAAAATCATGATTCTCCAGGATACTTACCAATACCATGCGTTGGGGATATTACCCCAATAGGGTAGAACCCTAGAATCAAATGAAAATGCAGATTGAACATGAAGTAACAACTAGGGTTCTATCGAGGTTTGTGGGATTTCCTAGCTCTTTCGTCTTTCGCCTCCTTCACTCGGAAACGGAGATTGACAATTACGACGGTATTTGAGCTAAGTGTAACTATGATCAACTATACTGTAGAAAGTGCGTCTCTGGCGGTCCCTGCATGGAGAGCAAGGCTACTTGTCGCGAAGTTATACCTGCAGTTCAGGCCATACCTTGCATACTTATGGTACTATTAACCATTAACATATCCTTGTATATTGATCCTGGGTTCCACGTGTGCGCGGAGCTCGGCTGCCGTGGTCCCCACCTCCGCCTGGGGGTTTCCAGAAATCAGGGATCCATTTTAGGGTTTAGACAAACCTTGCAAAGGCACCTGCGATGGTGGGGGTTTTGGCACTTAAGAATTAAAAAGGGTATCGTTTTCAAAGCACTTAAAAATAGATGGAAGCAAGATCCTGCTTTTGTGAAATACCCACCTGGCTAATGCAGAAGCCACCCAGATGGTAGGCGCTGTGATTCTGCAAGGTCACCTGTGGACGGACCCAAAGCATTGAAGATCTATTTTGGGCTTTGAGCCCCTGAACCCTACAGGTTATAAAGCTATGGGGGCTCCTTCCTTCATGTTGCTCGGAAGGCTTGAGACGATGAGAACCCTTGTATATGCGGGACAATTCAACCCCTTCGTCACAAGCTCCGTGGTGCCATTTGGCATGATGTTCAAGTAGTACTGATAAAGGGTCCTTTGGGTTGATAGAGATTGGCCTGACAGGGCGCCAACTTGAGAGTTGGGGAAGTGTGGCGAACAGGGTCGAGGCGTAAGCTGTCCAGGATTCGTGCGGTGGTAAGCCCTGTGTCGGCTGCATCAACCAAGGAGCGCGGCATGTGACATTGTTCAGATTTGCTTGCTGATTGGGCGCAAGTTGCGGCTTGGGGTTTACAGCTGGTAGTACTGTGTTCTTTGTGCCTTTTTTGGAACACAAAACTTGGACAAGCCGATGCATGTGAGAGTAGCTAGCAGGTGGAAATTTCCATGACTAGAGGTCCCCAATATGCCCCTATACACCATAGGAGCTCTCGAAAGAGGAAGCTCAAATTATTGGGACTTCAATCCCCAAGCATCCCTAACTACATGACCATATCCCCTACAACACTTTTAAAAAGGATCCCTACATGGTACTTCCCAAAATTCGAAGACCCCAATATCCTGCAATTAGTCCGCATTACACCGACCGCAAAAAGGTGCCCCCCAATTCGGAGACCCCTATAGATCCCCTATAACACTTCAACCGAGGGACCCCCATATTTATCCTGCGAAGATAGTTCTGCCAGGTTGCGGCGGCTTCAAGCTGAGCGTTGGAGGTGGTGAAGGAAGTCTCTGCTCTCACAGATGCCGATAGAGTGAGCCTGAGGTTTTGTGTTATACGTTATACGTATATAACATGTTGTATACTCTAGATCGGGCCCGCGTGAATGCCATGTCGGTTCTAGCTTCAGGGATTTTCAAGTTCCAAGGAGGTTACAGATGCTACCTTCTCGCACGCCAGCATACTCCAGCTGAGACTAACCATTACAAAGATTCCAAGCTCCCAAGTTCACCACTTACTGAAAATCCGAAAAACGCAGCGCAAAGTCGGGGGAAGAAAGTCATGGCTCTAACGCTTTCAGGCGGAATCGTCCTGCCTCTCATTCCCAGCTGAGGAGCACAAATGGCTGTGGCAGAACAGGCAAGAAATTCCAGACAACAAACTTGGTAGAGTTCAACTCTAACCCCTGAGCCTTAAACGGTTGCTCCACTGTTCTGCACTATCTTTTGCATTTGGCTCTCAATAATTAAGCCCTACCTTTCGAAGGACCAGCATCATAGCCTGACTTCTGGGCCTGCTTTCTGGAAGCCCCCATGTCGTGCTGCTGCTCATGGTGCTAGAAACAACATCAGACGCACACAATCACAAAGAAATGTAACAATCGGGGGCCGCGCCAGGCTCGCGGTCCCCTCATGTGAGTCCCCGCGTAATGCCAGTGGTTATAAGTATTTGGGGGATGTATAGGGGCACCATGCTTCTAGCGCATATCAAAGCAGGTGTCTTGGACTCTAGAAGAAGGGATTTGGAGGCCGAGAATCAGATAACTCACGTAACCCTTACAGGCTTTATCGGTAGCACTTATTCTGGCTTATGGGCTGCCCAAATTGATGATCAGAATGGGTTCCGAAAACGGAAGTACGCCAGGAGCACGCTCTATCATCGGAGGCCAAGATATGTCCTCACCCTAGCCTACGCAGCACATGCGCCAAGCGGGCGACAGGTATGCATGACATGTGTCCTCTGTCCGCCGTACAAGTACTCCTCAACCTTTCATTATAAGATTGCAGGGTGTGGGGGTATGTTGAATCCCCTGCCCAAACAAAATTAAGCTACGTGCAAGGCCTTGTGCAGCGGAGTCTTCCCATTGTGATCGATCATCGTCACATTCCCTGCTGCTTCCTTCAGGGTTAGATCTGCAGGGGCCCAAAAGACCGCTTAAACATCAGGATCTCTCTAGAACAGCTCATGACATGAATGCAACATCCTCCCTTGACATGCTCTTTGGGAACACTGTTTCAAGGACTCGTGTAGAGGGCTGTTGACACACGAAGAACAACAAGGACATCCAGATTTCGAGGTGACCTTGCAAGCATGCGCGCCTCTCTCCTATCTGGCTTTGCGCCTCCTTGCTAGTTCAGGTACTGCAGCCCCGACAAAATCGATTATGGTTGTTGCCGGCCCGAGACCCAACTGCTAGCTGCTAGCCCGACTCCCGGGACCCCGCTGCGACGCACGCGAAGGAGAGATAGGTCCTCTGCCGTGAGGTTGCCCAGCAGCAGTACCAGATCAGCAAGTGCCTGTACAGGCCCAAGTAATCAGTATGAGGACGACAATAGTAGGCATCGTGACGGAGACATGTGGTGCACAGGCGCCCTTATTTTGAATTGCATGCTAGGAGTTGTTTGCGAGATGGAGCACCCATCCCTTCTGAAGGACCTCCAGCTACAGGGCAAGTGGTCAGACAAAGATTGCTAAGCCGGGATCATGGACAATGTGCGAAGCCTCTTTCCCAGAGCCTACACCGTGTCGCAGCCGCAGCTGAACCCACAGGGCGGGAGGGTGGGAGACAAACAGCTGCACAGTAAACGGCGTGCTTCTGGGCTTGGCCACAAAATGCTCAAGTTTCAAGCAGCATGCAGCATGCTCACGTCAGCTGATTTCACCTGCTGCCATGTGGTGCACAAGTGCCCTCATTTTGAATGGCACGCCAGGAATTGTTTGCGAGATGGAGCACCCATCCTTTCTCATGGACCTCCAGCTACAGTCCAAACTGTGAAACGGAGATCCAGCTGAGCAATCTTCGTCTGACCAATTGCCGTTGCAAGTCCACACGTCAATTGACATGGACAATGCTCGAAGCCTCTTTCACGTTTCCGCCCTGGCTTTAGCCGTCCTTCAACAGAGTGGCAGCCGCATGCGCCAAAGTCGTTTGGTCATCAGAATCGCTTAAGATGAGCCACCATAGCGACTGCATCTTGCAAGTATACACGTGCTGAGGGAGTAGAGCTCCATCGCTAGCGCAGGAAGGTTCGCTCCATGCTCTGATGGGAGAGGATATCCCAAGTGGCTTGCCCTGTTCTTAATGAGTAAACATTCAGGCGATCATCGTCCAAAGAGACAGAACTGAGATGAACTGGGTAATTTCTTGAAGCACCAGCGAAAATGATCAGGACCACGACTTAGAAGCAGCTCACAGGATGCACGTCTGTGACAAGCCTTTGCTAGCCAATGGACCGCGATTTGACTGTTGATGACGACCATTTCCTCTTGTCCTGTGCGCTTGCCACCTTTGGTCAGTCCAAGGCGAAGCACCGTACGTCGGTGGTAGAAAGTGATGGCGCCCACGTGCAAATGATACAGCTCACCACTGTGCAGCATGCATGCCGTGGAAGCACACAAGCAGCCGTGCTGCCACGCATGGCAAGTTGACACCTACCGCAAGTCCTGCCACACAGTACCTAGCAGCATGAGCGGGCTCAACGGCAATACACGACTGGGTGGCTGAACGCTTTGCCATACTTTAATCAGTTTCCAGGCCTGTTTGAGTTTTCCCTGGCATTCCGGCATATAGTGCTGCAGCCCTGCCAGCCCATCACTGGCAAGTCCTTTACGTTGACCATCAGCGCAGAGAAACTCTACCCGTCAAACTGGGAAACACGCGAAAGAGCCAAGTCACAGTCTGCCAGCAGAGAGAGGAAAGCCAAAACTGCTGTGGCATACCTTTGGGTCATGCCTCTGGAGACCATTTGCTCTTTCAAAGTCAATGCGGGTCTGCGGGTCTCTGTCTTTCGTTCGCACTACGTCACTATAGGATGATTTCCAGTGTCAACGTAGGCAACCTGGTCCCCTTCTCGGGCGCTTGCTCCTCCATCTTGTGCGCAAAAGATACTCTCCCCGCTCGGACGCTTCACCGGTGTTGGCGACTTCGTCCTCCACTTCATCTCCTGAGTGGCCAGTCAGGCGGGGTAGGAGCACCACCATGCTCCTGACTCCCGGAATCCCTAAAAGCCTAGAAGGAACCTTTTCCAAGAGGGCCTCCGCCTTTGCCGTGCGAACCTGCCATCGACCTTGCGAACTCTGTCTCGCGGAGACTGGCACCTCCTCCAAGCAGGTCCTCCGGAGCAGCCGTATCGCCCATCGCCATCTCGGGACTCATATACAGGGCTTTAAGCCTCTGAATAAAAAGATCTCCAGCCAAGCCCACCCTGCCGCCAAGAATCAAGTCCAAGGCTAAAGCTAAGGTGCGCATCTCACGAACGGTGCTTGGGCGGGTAATTAAGGTGGATGACGGAGAGGAGGTACCTGACCACGGAGGAAAAGGGATCGGGAGCCACATCCCCCTCACAGAGCGCGGCCCCCACTTATTCACGCATGGCTTCCAGTCCTCGACGCAGAAGTAACCCAGGCTTATCCTAGGACAAAGTGCAAAGCTGACGCCGCTTGGCTGACAAAGAAGTAGAAGGCTCCGCCAGCTCATCCTCCTCGTCATCGTCGGCCTCATCCGAATCAGTCTCATGCCCCCAAGGCCATCACCTGGTCTGCTCGCACGTCGTGATAGAATCTTTCGAAGACCACTGACCACAGCATGAGCTTTGCCTTGCGCTTGGGCCCATGCAAGGTTGCCGGCGCCTGGGCCAGTCCCTCGCTTCTGCCCCGTCTTCTGGGGCCGGCAGTAGAGCATGCGAATCCTCTTTTTGGGATTGGGGCCGACTTTTGAACATGACCCGTTCGCCGACCCTCCTTCCGAGTGCAAGTGCTCACAGCCTTTCTGCACAAATGGTAGGTGTAGGTTGAAGGTAGTCCCCGAAACTCATCCAGTTGATCTATGTACGATAAAAATCATGCTCGGCCCCCACAGAATCAAGCTTAATGTGCGCTCCATTGTCATCCATGGGACAAAGAGGAGTTAGCTGGCTTATGGCATGCCCCAGTGGCTTTGAATCATCGTCCAAGGCCTCCAAGATGTACTCGTCAAAGCTACGGTATGCAACTTCGAAATCCCCGTCACTCAGCAGGGGCCCATGGTGCAAAAGTGGAATAGGAGGAGGCACACACGTCTCCGCCTGGACATCCACGGCCCACCTCAGAGGCTCCCTGGGCCACACCAGATCACCCCCACGGCTGCTACACTGTCCCTGGAAACAAACAGCTGACATTAAACGGCGTGCTTGTGGGCTAGTCCACAACATGCCCAAGTTTCATGCAGCATGCTCACGCCTGCTGATTTCACATGCTACCATCCACGGCACTCGCTGTTGTCGGATTTGTGCGGGTGAAGCTTCTTAATTCCCGCCAACCTTCACAATAATACTAATTACAACGCACCAAACAATATTTGCTCCCTAGTCAGGCACTGCAGTTTTTGGCTTTTACCTCATAATTATAGTGAATCATTTCGTACCCTGCCACATTCTGAGGCCTCTACACTATGTTGAGACACTCCAGCCTTGCCTGGGCCCGCACGGCCGTGCCACGGGGACCGCGGAGATCGATCAGCTGCCTTGGACTGAGTGTCAGTGCAAGATTGAGGGTTGGGAGCTGGAAAGGTTTGAGGGTTTAGGGTTGAATTGCGTTTCAACTCAAGGGTTGAAAGCCTGTCTCAATTGCAGCAGACAGGGCAGCGGCGGCAGGCGGCAGGAATCGATGGTTCAAGGTCGGTTGAGGGTCTAAGTTTCAAGCAGCACTTGACGTTTTAGGGTTTACTTTAGAGGGGGCTTAGCAGTTCAAGCGTGCTGATATGTCAGGTGGTAATGAGAACCATCAGGAAAAGAATGCTTGGCGTCTGTGCGGTCGGATCAGGGGCATTCTTGGGGCACCCACAGCAGTCCTTTCTCAGGTCCTAACTTCTCTGTGACCTGACGCAAATTTGCCAGGGGCTGAAAGGGCACAGACAAGATGCTCCACTCGATTTGCCGTAGATGTCCTGGAGACATCAGGCAATCTGGCAACATTGGTTCCCCTGATGAGAACTGCACAGCAACACTGAGTGGTCATCAATACCAGTCATTGATTGTTCAGCGGTCCATCACAGGAGCAACTCATGAACAATTCTGCAAAATTGAATCTGTTACCATTTTTGTTTCGAGGTGTATCTTAGTTGCAGTATCTGGACATCCCCCTAGGCAGGACAACTGATTTGTGAGACGTCACGCAGCGTCAATCTGCTTGTAAAAGACTGCGCATGCAAATGTCAGCTGGAACCAGGCCATCCCTGGATCACAATTGGGGGTTCTCATGTTGAAGGAATTGAAATTCCGTTGCGATCCCGCAGAAGACTTTTACAAATGAGTCTCTGAAAGCGGGCGGTTGTTTTGCTCAGGTCTGCACAAATCTGCCCCAAATGCAACATTCAGAGCGGACATCCTGCTGCCCTCATGACGCATGGCTTCTACTGGAACAGAATGTCACCTTAACCAGGTCAATGCGCTTTGAAGCAAGACTGGAGGCACGAGGAAATTCACGGTTCAACGGGCCTCTGAAATGAGTCGATGGAACACCCCAATTAACCTGGGACCGTAGCCCCTAAGCCTGAACCCAGTCCTGTCGGGTACTCTGCCATCCCCGGCTTTGTGGCAGTAGCTTTGCCGCTCAAACTGGTAGGGGCAGTTCTCCACCTGGATCCCCCAAACCTTAACCCCCCCTCCCGATAAGAAAGGGTCTCTAAAGGTGTAGACAGTAGGGTTGAGGGATGAGGGCAACATGTCCAACATTGGGTGATATCTATATGATAGTTTGCTTGGGGAACCTAGGGCACCAGAAGGGAAAAAGGCATATTGTAGAAGCTAGGCACGCATCCGGTGATGTTCGGGAAGGAGAAGTGAATCGTGGTGTTGTCCTGGCAGGGCTTTCTTCCAGTCACCTCACCCGAGGTATGAGAACAGCCCCCCCCCCCAGTTCATGAGGATTCCATGAATTTTCCCTCATTACCTCATTATGCAGAGGTAGGCCGTTGGAAACCCTTCTTAATAGTTGAACAGACAACAGTGATTATTGCGGGGAGCTGAGGGCCCGCGCCCTTCAAATGGATACAAAGGATGTTCTTCATGTTCTTCAGGTAATAGCTTGGAAAGGCGCTAGAGACAGAAGATCCATCCTTCAAGAAACTCATCAGATTCCATCTGAAGCGTCACGAAACACGCGAGACCTTTTCAGAAACGGCCGCTCAATCCCACGCAGCAGGTGCTTGTACATGTCAGTAATACTTTGAGGGAACATGAAGACCTTTTTTGAAGCCATGTTCCCGGTGTAGCAGGACTGGTTAGCCTGTCTCGACAACACAAGCCCGTATGGTCCTCAGGACACGCCTCTGGAGCGGCGCTGCCTGCGTGGACAGGTGGTAGGCACGGGTGAGGGGCTATGTATCAAGATTTCTCTTCATGTTCGAGCTTCTTTTCCATTTGTTGATTCTCCATTTGTGGGATAGTACCCCTAATCCCTATAGAGCCACTATATAATAAGCTTGAGGAATTTGCCCTGAATATATCGCGTGAGAAGGATCCTAGGTTCTAGAGGTTTGAGGATTAGGGGGTTAGCGCCGTTGGCCAACGCTGAGGCCTGAGCCATGCCTGGGACCGCTTATCCGCCATAACGCCATCTACCCTAGGATGGGCCCCCACCCACTTATCCTGACCACACAAGATAATGATAATACTATTAGGGCCCCTATATGTATTCATGTGTATATATATATAAATAATTCTAATATGCCACTATAAGTGGCGTAGCCCAACGTCCCTCTCTTCTTTCATAGGCTACATACCCACTTCGGAAGGCTATACCCACTCAGGAAGTCAGGAAGGAGCACTCTCACTCTCTCTCTCTTCTTCTATGGGTTCTGCAGAGCCCCCGGGCTAGGTCCCTAACCCTCGCACAATCGTGGTCAGTTTCCCAGGAGGACCGGAGTAAAAAAACATTTGGGTTGAGCTTTTGCAAAAGTTTCACTTACAAAGTCTCTCTTCTACTGGCTATGCTCACCCCCTAGGGGATGAGCTCGGGCTACGCCCCATAGCCGCGCAGGTCCTGTCGGTTTGGTCAATACAAGCGAGGACCAGGATATTGAGAATGGGGATCGCCCAAAACATGCCCCAGTCAGCGCTTACGTCCCCCAAATGCTGGCATCTCTTTCGGGCAATCCCTATTGACTTCTCCTCTACTCTAGCCCGCTGTGAAACTGATACCCTGGCTGGGAATCCGCATACCCCTGTCTGTATCCAGTTACCCTAGGATCATCAGCTTCAACTCTACCTCAGTCAGCGCTCCCTCTCCCTTTCCTCCCACATTCTCGCACTCCTGGCAACGATATGAGTGGCACAAGCCAGGACTCTGCATTGCACGTGAACTCCCTGTTCCCAGCAAGCGCTACCATGCTCCCTCGGAGAGTCAGCTCAACCATAATCATCACTCCCTTGAAGGTCACTGTCTGCTCGTTGCATGACGTACATCTTGTGCCCCGCTAGCCCATGACCAAATAGATACTTCAAAGCAAAGGTGTCTCCTTGATTGCCTCGAAAACTGACTGTGATCCTGATTACTGGGACCCCCCAAACCGAGGCCCCCAAAGTTTTATACACACCTTACACCCCAGTTCCTACATTCGGTATAGTCACCCAAATATTTTGGAAGCGCCCAGATCTCAGTTAGGAGACCAGGGCCCCCCAAACAACCCTGAACCTTCAGCCTTAGGTGGGACCACCCTTGCCCTCCTTCACTACGCACCGCAAAAACAAACAGGCCCTCACAAGCCTTAGCAAGCCCTGATCCCCGATAACCCCTAATAATAATAATTTGCCCATATATTTGGGGGCCCATAGTCCCATGAAGATAGAGGGGTTCCCTTTTACAGGATTATGTAGGGGTATATATGGGCTACAAGATAAGGATTATAAGGATATTACCCAAACACTGGAAAATCAAACGGAAGAATGGAATTACCATGGAGCTGAGATTCTGTATGGGTTCATGAGCAGTGTAACGCAGGGGCCTGATGAATTACCAATATCATGACGTGATCTACTTGAGGTACCTCATACCATAAATCTACATTGATTTTGGTACCACAATGCTGGTAATTATTCAGGCTTCTACATTCCATCTCAGTTCAGAGGGTCGAGACACTTTTGTAAGGGCCCCTTTTACCCAACATCCAGGGAGGGCGGGTGAAAACAAGGCAGCTTAGTTCGTGCCACTGCGGTTACAATGTCCTGGCTCTCAAAACTTTCCAGACCATGGTTGAGCGTCCAGGGAGTCCAGGGGTTCCATGGAAATCTTTTGCAGCAAGAAATGCATACGTATAAAAGAATGTATAAACTACGTACATGCGCAAATACTGAAACTACACCCCCCCCAAGCGAACATGGAACTACGTTCGGTCGGCAGCAAGAACCCCTAAACTAAGCAACTTAAAAGCTCTACACCCAAAGCTCTCAAAGCATTAAGCTACTACCAGTCTGGAAAACCCTGGTCACTCCTGCGAGCAACCGCTAAAAGCCATGAGCACATTCCCTTCTCATCACCATCACCAACACCACCGTCGCCGCCATCAGCAAAAGTGCTAAAGGCGGGGCACTGTCGCGTCGATCCCGCCCATCAATTGTTCTAGCATTATCGTTGCTGCGCAGTAGCTGGTTTGAAAATATAGCTGCGTTACGACAAGTGGTGCTTGGAGGACACTGACGCTATAATACCTAATTACTGCCGCCAATGCCCGGAAGCCGAGCCCTAGTCCCAACTCCCCACCCCAAACCCCAAATCAGTTGCAACAGAAATGGGTCATTGTTGACCAGAACTCCTAGTTTCTATTTTATTGCCTCCAACCCAGCAGGAGACACAAAGTCATATTTCACCAGACTCCCAATACGGAATTAGAGAATGGACCCGAGCCTGCTACAGAGCTGCCATCTGGTTCGCGAGCCGCAGCCGATTGGTCAAAGTCCTCGAATGATGTGTTGGGGGTCTTACATATTGCTCGTCGTCCCATGGTAGCGTCGAATTTCACGAGCAAGTATTTAGCAACTAGACGCAGAGCGAAACTATCTGAAATCAGCTTAAACCTACGGCTGTCTCACCTCCTACTCAAAATGGCCTTGCCCACGAACCCAAACCCTAAATTAAAGCCCGTAAATGTCTCTATACTCCCAATGAACCTGAACTTCCCCCGCCCCCAGGCCGGCGTAGCTGGCTCGGCGCACTTGAAGCCGGTGGGACAAGCCTCAATCTGGCGACGTGAAAAGAATTTCAGGATTTTGTATAAGAACCAGGATTTGGGGTGAGGTCGGGTAAGGTTGTTATAATTCTGCCAGTTAATGTTTGAAGGCTCGGGCTTTGCAATCTGCTGACCTAAGCTGATCTGTAGGACCCATGGCTGTTACCCGAAGATTCTACACGATTACACAGGAACAAGCAATATTCATAATGCTAAGAATATTCATAATCCCAGTATAACCTTAGATAGCTCTATAATTCTCTAATGGTTTAATGCCGCGGCATGGTCAAGAATTTGCACAGTGATGGCAAAGATAAAGATCAAAACCATCACCTACAGATCATAATAGCAGGTTGCCAATAATTGAGAATCCAACGGACAAGAGCTTGGAAAATCATCGAAACTGGGCTGCTATGTAGAGTTCGCTAGAGGGATTCATAACGTTTCGTATTAGGAGACATTAGGTAACCCCAACCCTGCCATGTGTGATACTGCTGCGTCTTGCTCTTCAAGCTCTTCTTGTCATCCATACACACCACCGACTGACATGGCAAGCCATGTAGTCAGGTAGGTGACCTAAGCGTGAATCGAAACCTGTACCCTCCCAGGTGGTTCGACCTAAAACAAAGTGATTGCATTATGCCAGGTAGAATCTTTTAGGATCCCACTGCTGAGGAGCACTCAAAAAATGTAAATAGAGTTCATATATGTGGCATATAGCGGCTATTCACATCATTAAGGAAAATCCTGAAGAGCAGCCAGGTGGCTTCACATTCATCCTCTGCCTGCCGCGCTGCAAACCAGTCACTACACGTTTCAGGGTTTATAGAGGCATCTGGGAGTTTTCCCTGAGCAGGAGCCTCAAACAAACTCGAAAATACGATGATCCTCATTGCAACCTACTTTCTGCAACCTCGATGTCCCAATCTATAAACTAAAGTTCATGCTTTCTACGTAATCTCATGGACATGGGTTCCTTATTAGGGAATATCTTAGGGACTAAACTAC